GGTTAGAGCATCAGCCTGGACCAATGAGTCTCGGGTTTGATTCTGATCAAGGGCACATGCTTTGGTTAGGGTTTGTCCCCGGCCCTGGTCGGGTCATGCAGGAGGCATTCAGTCTATGTGGCTCTATCACATCTATGTTTCTCTCTGTCTCTCTCTCCCTCCCTCCCACTCTATCTGATGATAAATAGAAAAGTATTTTCAGGTGAGCAATAATAAAAGGAAAAAGAAAGAAAACGATCGTGAGACCTTTTACAAAGCAACCGTTCTCTCCAGTGTAAGTTTAATTAAGGAATTATTGAAACTATCATTTTGTCCTTTTTGAAAAAAAGTAGTTTTCAGCCAGCTTATAGTTAACCTTGACTCCCCACCCTACCCCGTGCTAAACCAGTTTTCCTCATCCTGTAGATGACAGTAATTAATGTGTTTTTCGTCTGAAATTCTATTTTAGCGTTTCCTCTTTCAACTCCCCCTCTTTGGGATAGCTATTCGCCCTACTCTAGTGAGATCATTTAAAATATGGTCTCTTTTCGCAGAGATATTAGTAGTATTTCCTCTGGCCCAGCACCATCTGCAGCCTTCATCTCTGCTGACAGGCTGCTGGGGACCTGCCTTTCCCGAGACACCGGGAAGGAACGCGATGTCGCCAGCCAGCAGCTCCCGAGTGAAGTGTGTTATCTCTATTTCACAGGCCAAAATATGAGGTCGATTAGTTCAAAGTCAGAGATTCTAGGAAAGGAGGCAAGCATGCTGCCTTTTTTTTAAAGCAACAAAAGTTCTTCTTATCGCTTTAGTAATATTTGATGTTTTCTTTTACAGTCCAAAACTTTCACACATTTGGTCAAATTTCCTTCACTGAGATCGGATCGATCTCCTGCCTCATCTTATAAAAGTGCAACCTAAGCTTCCAGAATAGTTAGATTTCTACTGGAAGTCCACTGAGGGGAGTTCCACAGTGACAGAGTCTGTGAATCCGTGTCTCGTGGTGGCACCAGTGTAACTGAGAGAGTAATGTCCATCTGTATGTCCCTTGTGTCAACATTGGACTCTTTACTTAATACTACCCAGACCTTAGAGTATATTTAAAAAGTGGAGAATAGAGCACATTAAAAGTTCTTTTGAAAAGGGAATTGCAGCCCTGGCCGGTTTGGCTCAGCGGTTAGAGCGTCGGCCTGCGGTCCTGAGAGACCCGGGTTCGGTTCCCGCTAAGGGCATGTACCTCGGTTGCAGTTTGTCCCCGGCCCTGGTCGGTCGTGCGGGTGGCGGCCGCTCGATGTGTCCCTTTCACATCGATGTTTCTCTCTCTCTCTCTGTTCCTCTCTCTCCCTCCCACTCTATCTGAACAAAAAATGGAAAAATGTCCTCGGGTGAGGATAAAAATAAATAAATAAAGAAAGAAAGAAAGAAAGAAAAGGGAATTGCAATTTCTTTTTTTAAAAAAATAGCAACAGCTATCAGACATCTAATTATCATTTTCCCCTTCCAAAAAAATGTAAAGAAAACCTACTGCAATGTCAAAGAACAAAAACAGGAGAACACCTGCATCATCAGACTGAGGTATGTCACAGACACCAGATTGCCGCCAAGGTTGGAGAATTGGTGCAGGTACAATGCACCCATTTTCCAGATTCATCAATCCGCTGCCTCCTGCACGCCCCCTACTGGGGATCGAGTCTGCAACCTTGCCATATTCCCTGACCAGGGATCAAGCCCGGACCTCTCAGGCCATGGGACAGCGCTCAATCCGCTGAGCCACAGCAGCCGAGAACAATGCCTATGTTTGAGAACCAATCCATAAGATCTCTGAGACAAAGGGATCTACTCTGGTGGGGGGGGGGGGAGCAATGGAAGAGTTATGAATGATATCAAATTGGCCACTAGTTATAACTATTTAAACCCGGATGTAAGGCACATGAGATTTCTGTTACAGTTCTTTGTATTTTAGTGTATATTTGAAAACTTTCATAATATACAGCTAGGAAATAGTAACAATGGGAATTATGAGAAGTCAACAAAGGCAAATTCACATAACACAAAATACATTTTTTTATTACAAAGGTAAATAAAATGAACAAAATTACCAAAAAAAATCACCCAGCAAATCAACCATTAGCATTAAAAATAAAAATGAAGCCCTGGCTGCTTTGGCTCAGTAGTTAGAGTGTCAGCCCGTGGACCGGAGAGTCCTGGGTTTGGTTCCCACTAAGGGCACGTACTTCGGTTGTGATTTGTCCCCAGCCTGGTTGGGGTCATGTAGTTGAACCACTCAACGTGTCTCTCTCACATCAGTGTTTCTCTCTCTTTCTCCCTCTCTCCCTCCCACTCTGTCTGAAGAGAAATGCAAAAATGTCCTTGGGTGAGGATTAAAAAAAAAGCAATGAAGAATCGATCCTAGAAAATGCCTGGAAATAAAGGGAACAAGTGCAAAATGTGATTCCTAAGTATTCATGAAGTTATCAAAATGACAGCAGTACACATAAGAACCTGTGGAATTAGACTAAGTCTGTACTTAAAGGGAAATTAGTGGCCTCAAAGCGCTTTCGTTACTTGAGAAGGAAGGTTGAAAATAAATGGACTAAGCATTCAGTTGAATAAACTGGAAGAATTAAAAAGCATAACTAGCCTATCCAGCGTGGCTCAGTGGTTGAGCATCGACCCATGCACCTAGAGGTCGCTGGTTCAATTCCTGGTCAGGGCACATGCCCAGGTTGTGGGCCCGATCCCCAGTGGGGAGCATGCAGGAGGCGGCCAGTCGATATTCTCTCTCATTGATGTTTCTATCTCTCTCTCTTCCCTTCTGCTCTCTCTAAAAATCAATAAAGAAAAAAAAAAATTTAAAAAACTAGAAAAAGAATAAAGGGGCATTAAAGAGTTAAAAGGGAAACCAGAAAATTAAAAAAAAAAAAAAAAAAGATAATCTAACAGAGAAAGCAGAAAGATAGCCAGAAAACACTCATTTATGGTTGAGAATAACTTCAACTCAATGACTGGGTGATTTTTAGAAAAATATTTATTGCTAAAATTTATACAAGATGAGGCAGAGCATTACAAAAAAACAGTAACCGTGGACAAAACTGGAAAGAGACTCGAAGATCTCAGTTTCTTTGCTACCCTCACTTCTGAAAGCGCTGGCATTAGCCCAGCCAGTGTGGCTCAGTGGTTGAGCGCCAACCCCTGCACCAAGAGGTTGCTGGTTCAATTTCTGGTCAGGGCACAAGCCCAGGTTGTGGGCTCCATCCGCAGTGGGGGTCCTGCAGGGGGCGGCCAGTCAATGTTGATGTTTCTGTCCCATCAATGTTTCTAGCTCTCTCTCCCTCTTTCTAAAATCAATAAAAACATATTTAAATAAATAATACTAATAATAAAAACTCCAGTATTACATGGGTTTGTAGGTGATACTCATCCAATTTTGAAAGAATAGAAAATTAGAGCGTCGGCCTGTAGACCAATGAGTTGAGGGTTCGAGTCCGGTCAAGGGCATGTGCCTTAGTTGCGGTTCATCTCTGGCCCTGGTTGGAGTTGTGTGGGAGGCAACTAGTCGCTGTATCTCTCTCACATCAAAATTTCTTCCTCTCTCTCCCTCACTCTATCTGAACAAAAACATGGGAAGGTATCCTTGGGTGAGGATTAAAAAAAAAGAAAAGAAAATTATTTTGCTATATTTCTTGACTCATTTTGTGTGTAGAATAATTCATATTTTAACAATTGATTAACCTGTTAGTCAAAAGAAAAACTGTAGAAGCAACTTGTTAATGAATATAGATGAAAAATCCAAAACAAAATAAAGATGAATCAAATCTAGGACTAAATTAAAAGAATAATATACCATGATCAAAGAAAATTTATTCCCGGAATAAAAGTGAATCTTATATAAGGATATTTATAAGTTTGATTCTTTTTTATCAATGAATCAAAGGACAAAACACATTTAGTCATTGTAAATCCCCAAAATTACTTTTTTAATATTGATTTAAGCAACATCTATTTCTTATAAAACTTAAAATTGGAAAATCAGTTCTTTAATATTAGAAATATATATATTTCAAATAAATAGTGGATTCAGTGGCAGTGCACTTATATTGGGAGAGTAAATCGGTTTTATCTGTCTGGCTCATGTGTTTTGACTGGCCCTGAGACTCCTCTGTTCTCCGTAGGAAAGCATGTTTGAACTGGGTGGCAATATCTACTCTGCCGACAGTCCAATGGATTTTTTTTTTTTTTTCTTAGCATAACGAAGTGATTCTAACATTCATCAGGAAGAATAAATAGATAGGACTCATCAAGAACATTTTGAACAATAATATTCAGCTTTTAGTTTGGTGCACATAAATAATACTCTAACATGATAACAACACTATAATTGGGCCAATGCAGAGAGGAACCAAGACATTTAGGATATATTAATAATGGCATTTCAAATTATTAAATAAAAGATGGATTATTTAATAAGTCTTGTTTGTTATAGGAAAATCCCGGAATTGCAAAAAGAAGTATTTTGTGTAATAAGCTATGGCATTATGTTAAATGTAGTTGCTTTTTTTTAAAGAAAACTACAGAAAGTGTTCAGGGTATTTTAATACCATATCGTAGCAGTATAATTGTGCTTATTACAATATTCAAATTCACCTAAAGAATTTGATTAAGTTTATTTTCTTACAGCAGTGTGGGTTGAGGATGATAAAAAATGAAAATTACACAGCACTTTTTCTGTGCCAGGCACTTGCCTAAGCTACTGAAGTATATTAAGTCATTTAATCATCACAACAATCGTATGAGATCGATGTTGTTATTATTTCCCATTAAATACTCGAGGAACCAGAGGTGCGGTGTGTTGACACAACTCGTGGGCAGTCACACATCTAGTAAGTGGGAGACTGGGAACCATCTCAGGCCGTCTGGCTCCAGAGTGTACTGCACCCCTCCTCCTGGGCCTGGGCTGTGTGTGTAAACCAGGGGGAATCGCCCCGTTTTCAGGCTCTTATGTGCCTTTTTTCCTTCCCCAGGGACCTGATGCCACGAACCCTGGACGGGCAGATCACCATGGAGAAGACGCCCAGTTACTTCGTCACCCGGGAGGCCCCCGCGCGCATCTCGGCCATGTCCAAGGACACCAAGCTCATCGTGGTGGTGCGGGACCCGGTGACCAGGGCCATCTCGGACTACACGCAGACGCTCTCCAAGCGGCCCGACATCCCCACCTTCGAGAGCTTGACGTTCAAAAACAGAACCGCGGGCCTCATCGACACGTCGTGGAGCGCCATCCAGATCGGCATCTACGCCAAGCACCTGGAGCACTGGCTTCGCCACTTCCCCATCGGCCAGATGCTCTTCGTGAGCGGGGAGCGGCTCATCAGCGACCCGGCCGGCGAGCTGGGCCGCGTGCAGGACTTCCTGGGCCTCAAGAGGATCATCACCGACAAGCACTTCTACTTCAACAAGACCAAGGGCTTCCCCTGCCTGAAGAAGGCCGAGGGCAGCAGCAAACCCCACTGCCTGGGCAAGACCAAGGGCCGGACCCACCCCGAGATCGACCGCGAGGTGGTGCAGAGACTGCGCGACTTCTACCGGCCCTTCAACCTCAAGTTCTACCAGATGACCGGGCACGACTTTGGCTGGGATGGATAACAATATAATTTAAAAAGAAAAAAAAATCAAATATAATATATTTTTTTACCAATCGGTAGAGAAAAGGCAGTTTAATATTTGTGCTGAAAATATTTCTTTTGGTAGTTTTTTTCAATGAATGTTAAGAGAATGTTCTCACCTCTCCATCTTCACGTTTAACTTACACCAAACATTTGGATAAACAAGAAAGGAAACCTTTACTCATCTAAATACTTTCAACTTTTAGTTTCTGTTTTATACACATACCTATAAAGTAAGAGCATCAACTGCCATTAAAACTTTTAAGAGAACTCCGAGAGTAAACCAATCTCTCTCTCTGGCTTACAAGGCCCAGATAGAATTGATATCTAGCCTGTGTATTGCTCCCTTTAGTTCTTTTCCTGTGCCACTTTTTCTTAAACTGTTTCCCAGTTAATAATACTGTATGGTTTCACACCACTTCAATTATCACAGTGCTTTCAAATAAACATGTTTTGATCCTTATACTACTGTGTGTGCAAGAACATAGTGCATAGAGATTATAATCCCATTTTACAGGTAAGGAAACTTGAGTCTCAGGGAGGTTAAATAACTTGTCTTAGGGCCAGAGGGTGTATCCTGGACAAAACCCCATCTTTTACTTGTTCTTTATTTCATGCCACTTTTTCCAGGACAATTCAAAATAAGACATCTATACCTTTAAAAACAGTTAGCGAGGTTGGAAGTGATCTAGATGGGACGCACCGTATTTGTTCTTTTGGAGCACTTGCCTATTTGTTCTTTTGACCTGGCTGTCCTATTTGTTAATGAAGAAAAAGCTGTTTCTATAAGAGCTTACAAATATGAACCTCATTTTTATTTATCTGTTTTCTTTAGAAAGAAAATCAGCTTCTGTCTGTAATATTTAATTTCTAACCTTGGAGCTAGTACTAACAATGTATCAACAAACATCTTTTACAGTGCCCTTTTGTTCGTGGGTGGAGGACTGTCATTTTGACACTTTATTTTCCCCCATTTCCTGTTGATACCTATTATAACCTAATATTCATTAATTAAGAAATATCCTTAGAAATGCAGATAGGGATAAAAATGGTGGTGTCTCCTATTTTCCCATCTGTTCCTGCCCATCCCCCATTTAAAGAGCTCAAATAAATCAATTGTTTATTAAAAGGGTTCCTTTCCTCTCCGAGCGGGCATTAACAAGATTAGCATTAATGGGAATTAAATTGGTTTAGAGAGGAGCACATATGCACAAAATATTAAAAAACATGTATAATTAGCCTGTCATCAACATTTTATTACAGGTTTAAACCAAGAGGAAAATGTCTCCTATCTCGTGGAACGTTTCTATATCCACCAAAATGTAAAGAACCAAACACTCAAGTCTTCTAAATAGTGCTCTTTTTCTTCTCCAGTGTTGTGAATCAAAAGAAGCGAAATTTATTTGAAACACGTGGTAGAATGTTACCTTTGCCACCGAGGCTGCATCGGTGAAATAAATATTTCTTGAGAAGCCTAACGCAGGATTGAAAGGAAGGAAAAAAATCATTTCAATTTCTAGATATTCCATCATTGCTCCAAATTGTTGGTTCTATGTATTAGTTCCCACCTTCCGGGGTTAAGTAAACCCCAAATCCAGGTCCCCTTTCCCAGCGGATTTCCTTCCCTTCTGTGCCCTCAATTTTCCAGGGTCACAACCTGTTTTTGTTCTGCTAGATTGTCACTACCAGCAACAAGATACTCATTTTGAACTCTTTTTATCTTTTTTTCTTAACTCATTTTGTTTATGCTTCTGATTCTTTTATAAGCATTTGTTTGACATTATGCAAAAGTAGCTTGCACAAGGAAACAATTGTATGGGCAATCTCAATCTTTTTGTGTTAAGAAATAATAATTAAAAAAACAGAATTGAGTGCAAAGAATCTCTTCTTGCATGTGGATTTTTTTGTTCATATTATTTTATTTTTAAATGAAGGATTGAACAGCAGGCCAGGAAAACCTAACTTCTAAGATTTCAGGAGGGTGTTAGAAGTTATAGGTACCCCCAACCTTCCAAAAAAAAAAAAAAAAAGTAAAGATCTGGAGTCAGTGTACTCTGAATGGAACTTTTCCGTTTCTGCTTCTCTGTGGTACTTATTCTTGCTATGCAAGGACTTGAGCTCAGATGCCTTTGTCCATTTAGCTACACCAATCCTAGGTTTTGCTCTTGATTTGACCATCCTTCCACCTTGCCATCTGCCCCGCAGCCATGCCTACTGACCTCCTTAACTCTTCTTAGTGAAGAACCGTCTCTCCAGAACCACACGCTTTCTTCTGAGCAGTTTACTTTTGAGGAGGCATCTACTGTGTATAAATTCTCCAGATAACTTAGGAACCTTTAAGGAAAATTAATTTTATTCTAATAACCTGGGATTCTTCAGCTTCTAGAGAATGGATGTTAATTATTCTAGGAGTAGTAATCCCACTCTAATTTTCTTATTTTCAAAGATCTTTAAAATTAGAATAAGCCTGAAAGGTAAATTGGATCACATCCCCATTTGGTATTTGCATTCTTCCTTTAACTAGGCATGAAAACATTGATGTGTCTGTAAATTCTTAACTCTTGATTTCACAGTTGTTAAGAGAATAAATGTCCTCTCTACACATTTATCCCACTCTGTCCGCTGAGACCTGCCAAATCTGTTACCCATGAAGACACCTAAACTCAATGTGTGAACAAATAAACATGTCTAAAAGCAGGAATACATTATATAGTCATGTAGCAGATAAACCTTTCGAATGCAACATTTCACCTTAACCACCAGCAGCTCTCCACTCTCATTAATTACACTTTACAGTTGAGAAAACTAATCATTAAACTGCAATTCTCAACAAAAGACATTTTTGCATCCCAAGGCCAAGTGAGAAGATACTTGGGTAGTCCCAAGGGTGATGGAATATAGGCTGCTTCTAGTGGGTGAATGCCAGGGATGCTGTTAAACACCTTGTAATGCAGAGGAGAGCCCCTGTACCAGAGGCCTACCCTGCCCAAACTGTCAGCGATGATGAGGTTCCCCATGGAAGAAGTGAACCCGTCGCAGGGAGTGTGTCTGAACCAGGTCTGCAAACCGGATTCTCATTAATGCCCGACTGGTAATTCTTTCACTCGCCACTCTAAGATTTTCTCTTGAAAGTCTTTCTCTCTGTAACTTTGTAAGGGACTTCACTATAATAAACAGATCAATGTTTGATGTTGTGCTTTGGAAAGAGGAATACTAAGGAGAGACATCAATGAGCTGGGATTTTATAACTGAGACACAGGAGTAGCTTGTACCAAACGACAGTTCCATTTCTGTGAAGTGCAATCTGTCAGTTTCAGGTGGAAAAATAACATTGCAATCAGACATTTCACAGGCCTTTTCAAGTCCAAGTCTCACAGTTTCAATTTGCCTCCACAACAGAGCCGTGACAGTATTTCTCGTCACCTGACACAGCCAAGTGACAGCCGTAGAAGTGAGTGCTCCAGTTCTGTTCAGCAGCTAAATTCAGATGGATGTGCCCTGAGTTGCTGAGTAATAGCAAAGAACAGAGAAATCTTACTGGCACATTTTCTAGAAACCAGAGAACTTTGTACATAGTTACCATAGAATCAGGGAAGAGAAGAACTTATGGGTCCCACACATACAAACGTGTAGCAGATTCAGTGAAAGTTCGTGCAGAAATAGTAGACCCTACCTGTCTTCCTCCTGTGTCCCATGGTCATGGAGGAAGAATCGAACTTAACCCAAATATCAGTCCCTGTTAGGGGAACATCAACATTACTGTAGAATCTGTGGTCCTTAGAATATCTTCTTCAACAGAAAAGCATTCTGAGTCTCAGTTGTATGGGTGGAAAACATGGATAGGGACATTTCAACCTGTTTGTCACATGATGAGTTTTGGAATGGGAGGCCTTCCCTGGAAAAGGGGTAAATTTGGGAAAATGACAAGACAGTGCAACTTCATACACAGTAATGAAATAATGGATTTTAAGTATGCCAGGAGGAAATAAAACTGGACATAGAAATTGCTTCTAATTACTGATTCATTGTGGGATATTTAGGATATTTAGTTAGTATGTTTCAGGCCATCACCCTGATTTTCCAGGTCAATTTCTGTTGGTTGTGGTCTTTTAACAGCTATATGAGCAACAACCTACTCTCCCCTAGTTTTATTGATAAAATAAAAGGCAACATTGCCCAACCGGTGTGGATGGACTGAGAGGTCCTGGTTTGATTCTTGGTCAGGGCACATGCCCAGGTTGCAGGCTCGATCCCCAGGAGGGGGAGTGCAGGAGGCAGCTGATGAATATATCGCTCTCGTATGGATGTTTCTCTCTTTCTCTCCCTCTCTCTCTAAGAAATCAATAAAAACATTTTTTTAAAATAAGGTTACAATAAGTTGGGAGCATACTTTTCATCCCCAAATTCTTGGGTTTGATATTTTAAGTTCAGTCAAAGGATCAGATATGAGAAAGGGCACGCATAGCTCTGCCTGGCTGGTACATGAGCAGGCTACCTTCCCAGCAGGGGGTTGGCTGATCATTCCTAAGAGAGATTTAAAGTTACTGTCTGGTCCACACATCGGCAAACTATGGCTCATGTGTTTCAAGTCTCTTCCAAAGCCACTTTATGGTAAGCCTGGAGAGTTCGCCGTCCCTGGGGGCTTGTTTCGTTGCCCGGAGAGCTGTGTCTTTTCCCTTCTCATCTCCATGTTTCTTTCACTTTTCAGCGCCTTCTCTCCTTACATCTTGCCGTGTCCAAGAAGGCCTGGTATCCCAGCTTCTCACCTCAGTTCTGCCCTCTCTTCAAATGCACCAGACCCTGCGGTGTCCATGTCTTACTTCGGATTCCCGGGGAAACCTTTGCATGCACCTTGAGCCACTGCTGTCTGCTTCGGCTCTAGCGAAAGCCGTCCCGTTGTTTGATGCATATGCCCAGACAGATGAAGTCAGATGGGTTGATCTTTCCCCGAGAGGATTTACATCAGGAAAGCAGGGCCCCCACAAAGATGGATGAGACAGAATACGAAAGCATGGGAGCTCATTTTTGACAGGAGATGGAGCTGGCGTTGGAAGGACACTTGCCAGGTTCCAGGGTCCCGCCCCTCACCACTGACCTGAAGGATCAGGGTCGGCAACTGGGCATTTCACTTCTGACAGGTTGTCTGCCTCTGGTCTGAGCGGCGCATTTCTCCCACCTGTTTTCCCAGAAAGCCTCATCGAAGCTCAGATTTCTTTATTTCAAGCCCGCAACAGCTGGTCAACCAGAGAGCAGTAGGAAACAGGAACATTCTACAGTCATTTTGCTGCGATGTTTCAGAGGGAACACGAGTTCTTGATTAGCTAAACATCAGCTGAGACCTTCAGAGCCAAACCTAGACTTATTTCAGACCATGTGGTCTTACTCCGCAGGCCAGATCCGTTGTTCCTCGTCACGAACAGTCTAGCGTGTATTCTACAATAATAATAACTTACCTTCATAGAGAATGACGCGAAGCACCTTTCCACCCTATTTAGGTTTGAATAGATTTTTTTTCTTTCTTCCTTTCTTTCTAGATACAAAACGTCGACACACAGTCTGTTGCAGCTCTTCCCCACCCCAACAATCTCCACGCTCCTCTCAGCTGAGTTAGACATCTTTTCAGCCTCTTCCCTTCCACCCTGAGTTCCACATCGTTTCTCTTCTGAGTGACCTTTCACCTTTCAGTATTTTCCTGTAGCAAAATCCTTATGCCCAAATGTCATCTTGTGGTGTTGTATTTTTGTATTCCTCTTTCTTTCCAGTGTGACTCTAGTGACCTTTTCCCTTTCTGTAACCACCTGGCCCCAGAATTATACTTTATTTTTTAATTTCAAAACTCGGCCCTTAGCCTTCCTTCCTTTACCTTTGCTTAGATGGCACTCTTACATTTTAGGAAACGTTCTCTTCAGAGAAAATGCCCTCCCCCGGCCTTCTAGCATGTGGCATTGGAAACCTCCTGGGGGATGCAGCTTTCTTCTCCCCTTCTCCCCACTGAAATGCGAAGTCCTGGTGCGCTGGCTCCCAACGGCCCGGCGATTCTGTACTGAACACGTCCGGCTCTTCCTCAAACTCGCCATCAATAATGGGCTCTTTCTCAGACTCTTTGACCTCTGCTATTTGATGAGGCCATTCATAAAAGTTCTGTATCAACAGAATGATAGACTCGACTAGTCTGAGCTGTATATAATGGACACACAGAAAAATTGGAAGCAGATCTGTTTTTACCAGCCTCACCCTGTCTCCGAACTCAAGTTGCAAATCACCCGCGTGGTAACAATGCTCAATTCTACTTCTTGCATCAACCCTTCAATTCTTGTTCCTAGGTTTCTCATCAGTTTGTTCTCTGCTTTTTCATTTCTGGGACTCTTTCTTTCTTTTATCCTTACCCAGGACACTCTTTGCATTTATCTTCAGATAAAGTGAGAGAGAGGGGGGGAGGGAGAAAGAGAGAGAAAAACATTGATATGAGAGAGACACATCAACTGGCCACCACCCACAGGAGCCCAACCGGGGCCAGGGACAAACTGCAATTGAGGTACCTGCCCTTAGCGGGAACTGAACCTGGGGCTCTCTGGTCCGTGGGCCAATGCTCTAACCACTGACCCAAACCGGCCAGGGCAGGACTCTTTCATTATTTGACTCCCACTCCAATTTCTCTAGCCTGATCTTCATTTTTATAATCACCTCCCTTACTTCTGTTATTGCCACTGTGACGTTCTCTGGTGTCTAGAAAACATGGTGCCCATGTCTGCCTTTCCCCGCCACCCTACCACCCTCGTAAGCAGTCCT